TTGGCTTCAAGGACGGATGTGGAGGTCATGAGTTCTGAGGACACAGTTCCTCCCGCTTCCCTACCCCCCCCCCTTTCTGACTGGAAGGCTGCAGATATTTAATAAAAGCAAAGCATCTGTGCTTGTCTCCCTCTGATTAACCAGCATTATCCGGAGGCCACTTTAGTGCTCCTCAAAGGCAGTGAGGCTTGAAGCAAAGCTAGAGCACTGAAAACTAGTGTGGCTCTTTCCTTTGCCCGGAGCTGCGATGCTCAGTCAATGCTCCATTTGGCTTCCTTTGCTTTTAGGCTGGCCTTCATTGGACAGCAGACCCAGAGAGAGAGAGAGCTCATCATCAGTCTTGAGGGCCTTCAGGGGACAGGAAATCTAAGTAAGGAAAATTGTGTCAGGCCTCGGAGACCCACGCACGAGTGGCACAACTTAGCTAGGCTTTTTTGTGCGTGTGTTACTGTAGGGAAAGAGTGTCACAAGGACGATGGAGAGAAGGAGAAAGACTTTGGGGACGGCTCCAAAAGGAAGCCAGACCAAGTTTCAGAGATGTAAAAGAAGGCACAACAAAGAAGAGAGAGTCAAGCTACTCTCCAAAGGACCTGAGGGCAGGACAAGAAGCAATGGGTAGAAACTAATCAAGGAGAGAAGCAACCATTTTGGATAAAAATTTGGTGGGTGATGCAGAACATTCTGAAAAAAAGGTTGAAATTTACTCCTCAATTGTTGTTGTTTTTTTTAATTTTATTTATATGCCGCCCTTCTCCGAGACTCAGGGCGGCTTACAATGTGTTAAGCAATAGCCTTCATACTTTTGTATATTTATACAAAGTCAGCTTATTGCCCCCACAAACTGGGTCCTCATTTCACCTACCTTAGAAAGGATGGAAGGCTGAGTCAACCTTGAGCCTTGGAGAGATTCGAACCAGCAGTAATTTCAGGCAGCTGCATTAATAACAGGGTGCTTAGACCACTGTACTATCAAGGCTCTTATTGTTTTTATTGGCTGTAACGATGGATTGTACAGTATTAGAGACTAAACTGATTTTGAACTTAATATCAGCAGCTAGGCTGTTGGTAGCGCAATACTGGAAGAAGGACTCTTTGCCTACTATTGAAGAATGGACATTGAAAGTAACGAATTTAGCGGAAATGGGGAAAATCTCAGCATATTTGAAGGACTATACACAAGAAAGATACATATCGGAATGGAGAAGATGGATTGATTATATTCAAAATAATTATCAGACAAGAAAGTATCAAATAGCTTATGAATGAATGTTAAACTTTAGAAGTATTATGTTATCCATAGTGGAGTTAAGGTTTCAGGGGGGAATTTGGTAGTTTAAGAATAGTTAGGCTAATTTAGCTTATGATTGTTAATTGAAATACCCTGTATTTTGCTCTGGAAGTCTGGGTGGGAGGGTGGGATGGGAAGGGGGGAAGGGGTGGGGGTGGGGGGAGGGAGAAAGGGTGGGGGGAATATTGGGGGGGGGAATTTTCTTTGTAAAACTTTTCAATAAAAAAAAAAAGGAGAGAAGCAACCTAAAACTAAGGAGAAATTTCCTTAGAAATTAATCAGTGGAACAACTTGCCTCCAGATGTTGTGAATACTCCAACGCTGGAAGTTTTAAAGAAGATGTTGGATAACCATTTGTCTGAAGTGGTGGAGGGTTTCCTGCCTAAGCAGGGGGTTGGACTAGAAGACTTCCAAGGTCCCTTCCAACTCTGCTATGCTATGCTATGCTATGCTATGCTATGCTATGCTATGCTATGCTATGCTATGCTATGCTATGCTATGCTATGCTTGGGTGTACATTTTCCCTTCCAGTGGGAAACATTTTGCATTGTTTCCAAATCCTAGCAGATGGAGGCTGTACAGGAAACTAGATGCCCACCTCCTCTCTGAAAAGCAGAATAATGGAATAACAGAGTTGGAAAGGACCTTCGAGGTCTTCTAGAACAACCCTCTACTCAAGCAGAAACCCACACCATTTCAGACAAGTTGTCCAATCCCTTTTTAAAAACCTCTAAAGTTGGAGCATCCACAACTTCTGGAGGCAAGTCATTCCACTGATTAACTGTTGTAACTGTCAGGAAATTTCTCCTTACCTATAGGTTGGTTCTCTCCTTGATTAGTTTCCATCCATTGCTTCTTGTCCTGCCTTCAGGTGCTTTGGACAATAGGTTGACTTCCTCCTCTCTGTGACAGCCCCTCAAATATTGGAACACTGCTATCATGTCATCCCTAGTCCTTCTTTTCATTAAATTAGATAAACCCAATTCCTGCAACCTTTCTTCGCAGGTTTTAGCCTCCAATCCCTTAATCAACTTAGTTGCTCTTATCTGCACACTTTCTAGAATCTCAACATCTTTTATCTATCAGTACCCCTGTGAGCTATCAACCCAGCAATCCTCTGTCAAACTGCTTTCATACAGTGTAATTTGTGGTCAGCCTTCAAAACAGTTTAGATATCAGCCAAACAGAATACGTTGGATAATAGCCAAATAATAGAGGGAGGAATGGTGTGATAAATCTGTGTAACATGAAAAGTGTAATAGATGGTAAATTGGATAAAATCAAAGATAAATTGATAAAGTTTAAGATATTAAGAATCGAGGAAAGGGTCAAGAGATTAAGAATTAGATGGAATTTTATCTTATAAAGTGTAATAAAATGGAGTGGTATGGAATTTGAAATTAAGATTTGTGGTGATAAAATTGTAGGGTAAATAATTAGAATAAGAGGTTAGAAGATTGTTTAAAAAATTTTTTTTTGATGCTGATGGTAAAAGATGTAAGGTGAAGAAGAACAAGATATAATTAAGTTTGATATATAGATAAAAAATGAGTGGAAGTTAATTTGAAATTAAAATTGTATTGATATAATGGATTTGCTTAGATGAAGATGTTAGAATTTATGTTAAAACTTGCTTTTTTATGTTTTGAATTTTCATTTGTAAAAGATGTAATGGGAAATTGTGAATGGAGCTTGTTAAAGAAATGTAAGCGTGGTAACCATCTATGGACCGGATCGAGACTCTGCTCTTGAAAGTTATATTTTATGTTTAAGTTTGAAAAGAAAAAAAAAATATTTACCAAAAAAAAAACAACATTTTAGATATCCTTGCTAAAGAAAAGAAAGACCAATGCATTCTAAGAGTCAATACCTGTTACAGGTTTGTTTCTCCCCCAGTTGGAGAAAAATTATGCAACCAGCAGGGATCACAAAAATTGGTATTTGCTTTCTACACAGCACCAAAGCCTCGTTTTTGCTATAACCACTAAAAGTTGTGGCCATTATTTGTCAACTCACTGAAGACACATTATCCGTGCCTTATGAGATACTTACGGGACCGCCTTCTGCCACCGATAGCCTCCCACCGGCCAGTACGCTCTCACAGAGAGGGACTCCTCAGGGTGCCGTCGGCCAGGCAATGTTGGCTGGCGACCCCCAGGGGGAGGGCCTTCTCCATGGCAGCACCTGCCCTCTGGAACGACCTGCCCCCGGAGATACGTAGGATATCAGATCTCCGTGTTTTTTGCCGTGCCCTCAAAACTTTTTTATGTCACCAAGCTGGGCTGGCGTAAAAACCCCCCCTTTAGATATTTTAATTGCAACGGATTTTAGTTGGGATGTTTTAAATCTGGGCCAAAATTTGTTTAATTCTTTTAATAATTTTAAATTTTGTATTGATGTTTTTTATTCTTGGCTGTTCACCGCCCTGAGTCCAGCAGGAGAAGAATAAATAATAAATAAATAAACTCTCCTTGCCCCCTTTCTCTACGGGTTGCATTTAACACTGCTGGTCAAATCAATATGTGTTTCAGGCATATTTATTGATAGTAAAAGTGGGAGGAGGGAATTATTCTTAAAATCTCCCCACCATCACATCACGTGTTTGAGAATGGTAAGGTGGAGAGAAAAAGAGACAGGGGGGAAAAAAAAGAATTTCCTTAAACATCACATTCAAGGCTGAATTTTTGTTAACGTACTACACAGCCAAAAGAGTTAACAGAAATGTGTTCCGTCCCCGTCTCACACACGCACCCCCACAGACAGGCAACAGTTAAAGAACTCAGCTGACAACAGTTTATCCGGCAGCAATCCAGTGGCTGGCTGCCAGGTATTCTTTACTCACGAGGGGGGAGTTTCTCCCTTCGTCCGGGAACAAAGCCAATACACAATAATCAACAAAGTCCAGTAAATACAAAGAAGGTCATCCGATATCCGTTTTTTGGGGGGGGGGGTGATTTTGTTATATTGTACTATATTAATTTATTTGATTCTTTTTGTTAGTTTTTATTGTTTTAAATGTGGTTTTATATTCTGTAGGCCGCCTTGAATCGCCATGAGTGAATAGGTGGCAATATAAATTCAGTAAATTCAGTAAATTCAGTAAATAAGCAAATAAGCAAATAAGTAAAGTAAATAAGTAAATAAGTAAAAGAAATAAGTAAATATTACAAATCTGAATATAAAGTTGAAGCTGTCAGAGTTGACAGTATAGAGCATTAGTTGTCATTTTGGCAGCCAAGAAAAATCAAGATTGTCCAAACGGGTAGTTCTTGACTTAAAACATTTCACTCAGTGACCGTTCGAATTTACAACGGCACTGAAAAAAAGCGACTTATGACTGTTTTTCACGCTTATGACCGTTGTCATATCCCCATGATCAAAATTCGGATGCTCCGCCACTGACTCGTATTTACGATGGTTGCCGTGTCCTGGAGTCATGGGGATCTCCTTTTACGACCGTCTGATGAGCAATATCACGACCGTGATATTAACTTAACCCCTGTAGGGGGATTCACTTTACAACGGTGGCAAGAGAGGTCGTAAAATGGGTCAAAATTCACCTAACAATGGTCTCACTTAGCGAGAGCAATTTTGGGCTCAACCGTGGTCGTAAGTTGAGGATTACCTGTAGATATTTTCAGCATGCATTGCAGATGTGTCCTATCCGTTTTCTATATAATCATTTTTTTTTTACTTTTGTGTTCTGTTTTTCAGTTGACTTTTGCTATGGGTCCTTCCCGAAAAGAATTCTTGATCTTGGGCTACCTCCTTGCAGGTAAGAGTTGCCTTCAATGGAATATTTTTGCCAAGTTCAGCATTTGTCAGATAGCCTCTTTGGTTAAATCTACCCTGGAACAAGGAGCCTGATGCTTTCTCCAGATATTTTATATCTCCATTGCCAGCCCTTCCAGTCGACGGGGAATTGCGAGAACTGCCCCACATTCCAGAATTTTAGCCTGTTGCTTGAGCAAACACATTCATTTTATTCTCATTTTCATACCGTGTTTCCACGAAAATAAGACCGGGTCTGATATTAATTTTTGCTCCAAAAGATTCATTAGGGCTTATTTTCTGGTTAGGTCTTATTTTGGGGGGAAATATGGTATTAAATGCCTCCATTTGGCTGACAATCTTTTTTTAAAAAAGTTTTTTATTAGTAGTTCAAAATTAAAAACATTGGACATAGTTATGACATCACTGGTCCCAAGCATCTTCCAACACTTTAAGTTAATACATAATATACTAATGATAACATAATATATTCCTTACACCTTATACATTATTTAAATATAGTATAATAATAGTATAGTATATACCTATCTATACAATTCACATACATATTTATCTATAATAATGTATATAATTCTAGTATAACACTACACATTTGTCTCAGCTGTCCTCCTTTCATCTAATCATTCGTAGAATTTTGCCCAGATTTTATTTTATTTTATTTTTTAAAAAAAATTGATTTATATGCCGCCCTTCTCCGGAGACTCAGGGCGGCTTACAGTGCGTTAAGCAATAGCCTTCATACTTTTGTATATTTTATACAAAGTCAGCTTATTGCCCCCAGAAACTGGGTCCTCAATTTACCTACCTTAGAAAGGATGGAAGTCTGAGTCAACCTTGAGCCTGGCAAGATTCGAACTTACTTTAATTGCAGACAGCTGGTGTTAAATTACAGTGCCTTGTCTGCAGAGCTATCCAGGCTCTGTTTTGCTTTTATCCTTGAGTTCCAAGGTGAGTCTATCCATTTCTGCGCAGTTGAAAATTTTTAGTAGTATTTCCTCTTCAGTTGGGGTATCTTTCTCTTTCCACTTCTGTGCGAAGGCTATCCATGCCGGTGTAAGTATATGCAGTGGTAGATAATTTATGTCTTTCTTGTATTTTCCCTCTGTCTTTCCCAAAAGGAAAAATTCTGGTTTGACTTCTATGTTTATTAACAAAATTTCTTCCAACCAACTCTTTATCAGATTCCAATATTTCTTTGCCTTTGGGCATTCCCACCACATATGATAGAAGTTCCCGGAACCACCTCGCACTTCCAACATGCCGAAGAATTTCCCTTATTGATTCGTGCTAATCTTGTGGGGGGAGGTGCCACCTATAAAACATCTTATATAAATTTTCCTTACATGAAGTTGCTAATGTAATTTTTAAATTCTTTCCCCCCAGAGAGTCTGCATTTGGCTGACAATCTTAACGGAGGCTTATTTTGGGGGTAGGGCTTATATTACGGGCATCCTGAAAAATCATGCTAGGGCTTATTTTCCGGTTGGGTCTTATTTTCGGGGGAAACAGGATAGGTCCCAGAAACAGCATCAGAAATGTATTTTATCTCCTGGCGTTGCGTGAAAAAATGAGGCTGCTTTGATTTCCCTCATCGTGCATCATTTCTCTGCCCAGAAGGCAGATCATGGGTGCAAATCTTCAAGAATGTGAAGCATGACATGCTCAGACTCAAAGACAACAAGATCTGAATTTCATACATTTTCTGGGCCAGAGCTGGAAAAATTCCACCAGGAATTTTAGAGAAAGGTGAAGTTTGGCCTGGGGTAAAATATGTATTGATTTCTTTGGCAGGCGCTCAATTTGTAGACAGGACATACTAAATTCCTTGGATTTTGCAGAGAATCTGACCATCTCTTGAAGAAGAAATATGCTACCATCAGGTCCAGTTTGAAACTTGCAGCTTATTTGTGCAAAATAATGCTATTTTGGAAACACATATCGTTGTGTTGGGCTTGACTTCTACAAAAACTCTTGGGAACAATTATAATAAAAGCAAAGTTTAAACGAACAGAAAAGCCAAGCTTTGCAAAATGTATTACGTGCTCCCAAGCAAATGTATTTACCATGCGGTCTAGGAATGCTTCAGGACTACTTGTAATCACAATATAGGTAGTCCTCGACTTATGACAGTTCATTTAGTGACCGTTCAAAGTTGCAACGGGACTGAAAAAAAGAGTGATCAAAATTCAGAAGCTTGGCAACTGGTTCAAACTTATGACGGTTGCTGTGTCCCCTTTCGCGATCCCCTTTTGCGACCTTCTGATAAGCAAAGTTAATTGGGAAACCAGAGTCACTGAACAACTGGGTTTACTATTAACAACTGCAATGGTTCACTTAACAATTGTGGCAAGGAAGGTCGTAAAACGGGGCAAAACTCGCTAAACAATTGTCTTGTTTAGCAACAAAAACTTTGGACTCAATTGTGGCCATAAGTCGAGGATGTCCTATAATCAAACAGCACCCGTGCAAAGCGAGCGAGCGCACCCCCACACTACCGATAGCGAACTGGTAGCGCCGGGATTTGAATCCCATCTCCGGTGCCACTGTATCTTGGAACAGTCTTTAAATGAATCGTTGTAAGTTGATGACAATCTGTATTCTCCATTTTGAAGCCTGCATTTCAGGTGTGCAATGACATGTAAAGCAAACCTTCTCTAATTTAATTTAATTTAATTTAATTAATTAAATTTATATGCCGCCCCTCTCCGAAGACTCGGGGCGGCTGAGTCTAAGAGCAACAGATTCCTCTAAGAGGAACAGATTCCAGAAACAGAATAACCGAACAACTGAGTTGGAAGGGATCTTGCAGGACATCTCCTAAGCAGGAGATCCTACTCCACCATTTCTCTTGGAATGATGTTTAGCCTTCTCACTTTTCATCCTGGTGGTGTTCCTGTTAATTGATTTTTTTCCAGAGAGGCAGTGATGGAAATGGCCTGAAGGAGTTGATCATCACTTCCTCGAGATGAAACCATGTTCTTCGTGGTAACGCACCGTGCTTTCTTTTCGTAGGGTCCTGCATAATCTCCTGCCAGAGTTTGCTTCCCGCTATTCTCCCAAACGAAGAGCAAATGGTTGTGCAGCTGAATGGCCCCTTCACGTTGAAATGTTCTGGAGACAGCGAAGTCAGCTGGCAACATCCCATCCCGGAAGGCAACCATTCCATAACCATCAGAAACGAAGAGAACAACAGTGGCCTTTTCGTGACTGTCCTTGAAGTAACAAACGCTTCAGCTTCTCTCACCGGATTATACATTTGTTATTATAATCACTCTCAGGAGGAAGATGGAGAGGTGGAGGGGAAAGAGATCTACATTTTTGTGCCAGGTGAGTTGATTTTTTTTTTTTTTAAATTTGATTTATATGCCGCCCTTCTCCGGAGACTCAGGGCGGCTTACAATGCGTTAAGCAATAGCCTTCATCCTTTTGTATATTTATACAAAGTCAGCTTATTGCCCCCACAAACTGGGTCCTCATTTAACCTACCTTAGAAAGGATGGAAGGCTGAGTCAACCTTGAGCCTGGTAAGATTCGAACCTACAGAAATTGCAGGCAGCTGTGTTAATAACAGGGTGCATTAACCCACTGTACTACCAAGGCTGAGTTGAGGTGGCGCAGTGGTTAGAGTGCAGTACTGCAGGCTCCTTCTGCTGACTGCCGGCTGCCTGCAGTTTGGCAGTTCGAATCTCACCAGCCTTAAGGTTGACTCCTCAGCCTTCCATCCTTCCGAGGTGAGTCAAATGAGGACCCGAATTGTTGGGGGCAATATGCTGACTTAGAAAGCGGTAAAGCGGTATATAAGTCTAAGTCAGGGGGTCTCCAAACTTGGCAACTTTAAGACTTGTGGACTTCCAGGATACCCATCTGCTACTCAAGGTAGTAATCTAACTTGTAGTAAGTAGTAGACCAGATAGAAGCTTTAGCCGGTGTGCAGTTGCAATTTACTTGGAAAAGAATATGCTAAGGACAGAATCATTCTTTTGTCATCTCTTGGTTAGATTACTACAATTCATCCCACATGGGACTTTTGATGAGGACCAGCCAGAAACTTCTGGCAGTCAGAAGTGGCCAACATGCTCACAGTCATTGTATTGTCACCTTACACTGCTGTTATGAGAACTGCTTCGGTTGCCATTGTGCTTCAAGTACTGGGTGCTATTTTTTAAAATTCAGTATGGCTCAGAGCCTGGATTTCTGACAGACTGTCAGTCTCAGGTAGATTTTGCCTTCATAATAATCCATGTGTCTACTAAGGGTCCCCGCCTTCTGATTATGGCTGGGAAGACTCAGACACGGGTGTCCTCTGTGTGAGTTCTCCTTCTGCAGAAATGTCACACTAGTTTGTTTAGGGTGGCACCAGCTTGGCTGGGTGAGAGACGGATGAAATGGAATAACTCATATTACTGTACAACACATGGAATGGAGGCTCAAGATTGAAGTTATTACAGAGGTGGGCTGCTGAGGGTTCGCAGGAGAACCTCTAGCTAAGATTCTGTGCAGTTCGGAGAACCCCCAAATCCCACTCATGGCTGGCCCTGCCCACCCCACCCCTTCCCTCCCAGGAGTCCCCACGCGGCCCGTTTTGGATGCAGGTTAAGTGCAGGGCACGTGCGGAGGCTCGGAAAGGGTGAAAAATGGGCCTAGTAGAAGTTTGGGAAGGCTGGAAATGGGCTGTTTCCGGCCTCCAGAGGACCTCCGGAGCCTGGGGAGGCCATTTTCACCCTCCCAGAGGTTTGAGAAAAGCCTCCGGAGAACTGGGAGGGCAAAAATGCCCTCCCCACCATGGTGCAGGGGGCCGATTAGGCCACGCCCACCATGGCCACACCTACCCAGCAACCGGGCAGAGAACCCCTTGCTAAAATTTTTGAAGCCCATCCCTGACCTATTAATGTATGTATTTATTCCTATTGATGCATCGGAGTAACTCATTCTCAACAGATCCAGCCGTTCCCTTTGTCCCAACCTCCCCAGAAGATTTGTTCATTGTTGCCAGCGAGGAAGACAATTCTTCAATTATCCCCTGTCGCACGACTGATCCTAACACTCAAGTCACTCTAATGAACAGAGAAGGAAAAATTCTCTATGCCTCTTATGACAACAGGCTGGGCTTCATTGGAAACTTCTCTTTGGGGTCCTATATATGCAAGACAACAGTCAAAGCAATCGAATTCGAGTCCGGAGAATTTTTCATCTATGTTTACAAAGGTACATCTCTATGTGCTTTTCAATTGAAATGGATAAATTCAGGGATGGGATTCTACCAGTTCGGGCAAACCGGTAGTGCCAACGATCAGCTGGGAGCAAACCGGTTCACTCCGACGATCAGGTCGGCCCGCTCCTCTTCTCCTGCGCTTTACTTACCTTTATCTTCTCATCTGGTTGCCACGCCTCAGCTGTGTTACTCCCGAGTGGTGACACAGAAAATTAGTATTTGTAAAACTGCGCACACGCTCACAGCGCACATTAGGTGCGTGCATGCACAAAGTGTGTGATTACTGCAGTTGTTAAATCAGCAAAGTTGTTACAGGAATCTGTCTTCCCCACTGACTTTGCTAGTCTGAAGGTTGCAAAAAAGTGATCACATGACCCCCAGGACATTGCAACCGTCATAAATATGAATCAATTACCAAGTGTCTGAATTTGAATCACTTCACCATGGGGTTACTGCAACAGTCATTAGTGTATTCAAACGGTCATTTGAATTGGCCACTAAATGAACTGTTGTAAGTTGAGGACTAGCTGGATCCCGTAGTTCAGGCGGATGGAGGCACTAGGTGGTGGGAGAATAATTTAGACAACGATGTGTCCTCTTCCACATCTACAACTAGATTCCTGCTTTTGAATCCCAAAGTTCCACCCTTATAATGATTCAAATATGTTATTTATTTTATATGGCAAAGAATGCTATTTGTTCCTTTAGCTCAACTCCCTCCCCAAATGTCTTGAGTTGGCCCCATGAATGACAGCTTTTGAAAATAGCTTTTGTGATTTAGTTTAATAAATTTCTCCCCACACTTCTTTAATGTTGACATTCTCCTTAATGCACGGGGAAAAATAAGGTATTCAAGAGAATGACGTTCTATGCATATTATTTCCTTAAAAACGTTTAATCCTCTTCCAGCTCCATCGTACCTTCATGTTGAAATTGAGTCTCCCAAGACTGTATATAAAACAGGAGAAACCATTTCTGTTACTTGTGTGGTCTTGGATAATGAAGTGGTGAACCTAGAGTGGAATTATCCAGGGAAAGCGGTAAATATCCCTCTTTGTTGTTGACTCAGTGACCGGAGGAGACCGTGGGTGGGGCTTTAATTCCTTATTTTATTTTATTATTTTTTTTTAAAAAAAGAAAATGTCTGGAGAAAAACATTTGGAAGAAAGGCCAATTGTTAAATGCATTCGCTTGGTCAACTGTCAAGACAGAATGGTTAGCAAGCATGCAGAAGTTTGCAGAATGTTATGCGGAGATGAGTAACACATGAGTTTGACAGGAAGTGGGAGAGTAAGAGTAAGGACACTTCCACAAACCTGGAAAACATAATAGGACAAAAATGGGTTTTGTATTGTTGCTCAGATGTTACACTTGTGCTGATGAAAGAACCTGATTATTTCCAAATGTCTTTAAGTCGTAATCCAAAGCAGGCTTCTCTAACATAGTCTCCTCCAGAAGGCTTGGACTCTCCAGCCTGCATAATTAGACAGCTTTGACAAATACGGAATCCAGAATGGGACTTCCTCTGAAAATTCTTGTAGACATGGAGGCGGCGCAACATTTTCTGAAGCGATCTTATTTTAACGAGATTTCTGTCTTGACTCTCTGTTCCATTCCCTCTCTCCCATATGCAGAAAAATAAAGGAATAATCACCCTTGACGACATCAAAATTCCAACCCAGAAGCTGATTTATAATTTAACCGTCCCAGATGCATCGGCAAAGGACAGCGGAGATTACGAGTGTGCTGTCCGACATGTGACCAAGGATTTTAAGAAAATGGAAAGGATAGCCATCTATGTCCATGGTAGAGTTTGTTTCCCTTTTTCACGCTATTGGTCATGAGAATGGCAACAGAGGTAGTCACGGAACTATTGTCTTCCTACAGATAAAGGGTTCATTCATTTGGAACCCCATTTCAAGCCCACGGAAGCTGTCAATCTGCACGAAGTCAAAAACTTCGTAATTTATGTCCACGCGTACCCAGAGCCTAAATTGTTTTGGCTGAAGGACAACGTCACTCTGATGGAGAATCTCACAGAGATTGTAACCAGTTCCAAGCAAATCCAAGAAACAAGGTAAAGGGACAAAAGTCCATCACAGATTGATGGGTTTATTCACCATTGAATTCTTCATTTGTGAAAGAAGGTTTCTTTTCAGAAATTATTTCCTCTCCCTGCTGAATAATCTTCACTCCATGATACACCACTCTGAAAATTTTCTCTAGTTCTCAGTCTACATCATCCACTCCATTTTCGACTGATGATTTTGTCTTTGTCTCCCTAACCAGGGGTGGGATTCTACCAGCTTGGACCAGTTCAAATGAACTGGTAGCTCTGACGTTCAGCTGGGAACGAACCAGGGGCGAAATCCAGCAGGTTCTGACAGGTTCTGGAGAACGGGAGCGGAAATTTTGAGTAGTTCGGAGAACCAGCAAATACCACCTCTGGCTGGCCCCAGAGTGGGGTGGGAATGGAGATTTTGCAATATCCTTCCCCTGCCACGCCCACCAAGCCACGCCCACCATGCCACGCCCACAGAACTGGTAGTAAAAAAAAATGGATTTCACCACTGGAGCGAACCGGTTTGCCCTGACGATCAGATGGGCCCATCTATGCTATTTCCCTACCTTTATCTTCTCAGCTGATTCGCGCGGCAGAGCAGATTGCCGCGCCTCAGCTGTGTTTCTCCTCCGAAGAAATGCAGAAGTGAAGATTTTTTTCAAACTGCACACGTGTGCAAAGTGCACGATCATCGAACTGGGAGGATCCCACCACTGTCTCTAATCCTAACCCCCAAGGTCCAGACCTATGATTCTAAGTATTGGTTGAACAGAACATAGAGTAATTCTGGTGTATTCCTTATTTCTTTGTTGGTCGGTGTCAGGTACACACTACAAAAACCACTCAGCTTCTTGTGTTTTCCTTCCTAAAATGTTATTAACCTTTTTCATTCCAAATCATTGGAAAATATTGACTCTACACTTGCAACGTGTCTGTAATCGGAACTTTCTATTCTCACCCTCCCTGTTTTCTTCCCCTTCTGCTATCTCTTTCACTGCAACAGCAATTATACCAGTTTCAAATCTCATGAGTTCATAACTGCAAACTTGCAATGTTTATAGAATTCTTTATTGGCCAAGCGTGATTGGACACACAAGGAATTTGTCTTTGGTGCATATGCTCTCAGTGTACATAAAAAGACAAGATTCATTTGTCAAGAATCATAAGGTACAACACTTAGTGATAGTCATAGGCAGTGGTGAAATCTAAATTTTTTTTACTACCGGTTCTGTGGGCGTGACTTGTTGGGCGTGGCAAGGGAAGGATACTGCAAAATCTCCATTTCCACCCCACTCTGGGGCCAGCCAGAGGGGGTATTTGCCAGTTCTCCGAACTCCTCAAAATTTCCACTACTAGTTCTCCAGAACCTGTAAGCACCTGCTGGATTTCACCCCTGGTCATAGGGTATAAATAAGCAATCAAATCATACTAGGAAAGAATCAATATAAATTGTAAGGATACAAGCAACAAAGTTACAGTCATGCAGTCATAAGTGGGAGGAGATGGGTGATAGGAACAATGAGAAGATGAATAGTAATGCAGACTTAGTGCATAGTTTGACAGTGTTGAGGGAATTATTTGTTTAGCAGAGTGATGGCGTGGGTGAAAAATCTGTTCTTGCGTCTAGTTGTTCTGGTGTGCAGTGCTCTATAGCGTCATTTTGAGGGTAGGAGTTGAAACAGTTTATGTCCAGGATGCGAGGGGTCCGTAAATATTTTCACAGCCCTCTTTTTGGCTCGTGCAGTAGACAGGTCCTCAATGGAAGGCAGGTTGGTAGCCATTGTTTTTTCTGCAGTCCTAATTATCCTCTGAAATCTGTGTCTCTCTTGTTGGGTTGCAGAACCAAACCAGACAGTTATAGAGGTGCAGATGACAGACTCAATAATTCCTCTGTAGAACTGGATCAGCAGCTCCTTGGCCAATGTGATCTTTCTGAGTTGGCGCAGAAAGAACATTCTTTATTGTGCTTTTTTGATGACATTTTGGATGTTAGGTGTCCATTTAGGTCTTGAGATAAGATAGAACCTAAAAATTATTGTTCTGTGTAATCAGTCTGCTGCCTGTCTTTTGAGTAAGACTATAAGTCCCAATACCCCCAGTTTTCTTTGGTTGAAGAGACGTAAGGCCAGTGATCTTAACTCTGTCAGTGGAAAAAGGGATATAAATGCTATAAATTTGATTTAGGATCAGAGAGAAGAGATACGTCAGAACGATGACATGTTGGTCTAATGAGTCTTTTCTGATACATATATTTTGGCTTCCATTAAAATAATTGCTTGCTTCCTACTGTGGTGTGCTATTTTTTTTAATCATAATGTTGTTGTTTTTTAAACTCCTCTCACAGATATCAGAGTGTATTAAAATTAATTCGTGCCAAGGAAGAAGACAGTGGCTATTATACACTAGTAGCACAGAATGAGGATGAAATCCAAAGATACACTTTCTCTTTGCTCATACAAGGTAAATTTGTAAAATGGGACAAGCCAATATCAATATCAATGAAGGAGAATATTTATAGCTCAGGGTGGACATGAGGGGTCCTTGGTGCTCTCTGAGCTTAGTGGTTTTCTTGTAGAAGTTTCATTACCCAACTAGGTTACATCATCAGTGCTAGTAGCAAGAAAACAAGCTAGCTCAGACAATACATCACATGGAAAGTGCATGAGGTATAAATGTAACATATCAAGTCCAATGTGTAAATATAACATCGAGGAACAGTTTAGAATGCCAGATCAGCTATGAGGGCCAGTAGTAACACATCTCCAAATTCTTGTGATGATCAAACGAAGGAAAACGCTCCTTTGTCCATCTTGTCTGAAGAGGAACTGAAGTTTCACTTTGGTAGCACATTGAAGTAGGAAGATCAGAAAAGGAAAAAAAAAAAATTAAATGGGCATAGATATACTGGACCTAGTCAGAAAACAATAATAATGCGAAATAGTTTGGATTATTTACTTCCATCAAATTCACGAGTGAAACGGATTGACTGCACCATTCCAGCAATAATAATAATACCTTCAATGGACTCCCCTCTTCACATCATGAAATGCTTCGGAAATTCAGCCAGTAACTTAGCAAATTATGTAGGAAAATTGTGCTTGCTTGTTGATACCGGTGGGATGATGGCCTGGGGATTTATTTCAGTCGACATACTGTACTTAAACATCTGGTGTACTTGGCTGAAAGGCCAATGTAGTTCCATCCATGCGGTTTTAATTTAGAGAGAGGAAGGGGCACATTAAAGGGATCAGGAATTACAGAACAAAATAAGCATTTAGTGGAGAAACTTACCCCGATGACCATGTTTAAGGAAGAAATTTGGAAGGAGTTCATAGAGACCTGTTCCCATTCAGTGCTATCAGATACTTTTCATTTACTTGCGTGCTTAAAAAGGGCTTCAATTAATTGGCTCGTAGATGATAAATGCTTTCATACAACTTGCAGATGGTAAATGCTGCTTCGAGGGAGCTCTTCTCTCTGACACAGAGAGGAGTGTGTACAGTAGTGGCCGAAATTGTGGAAACCTTTTGGGAAAAGTGTATTTTTGAGGTTTGATGGCTAATAACACCATTTTTTTTTTGAGTTTCAAGATAATCCTATTTCACTGCTGGAATGGCCTGGGAATAGCCCAGACCTTAACCCCATTGAAAATCTATGGAGCCGACTAAAGAAACTTGTTAGTCAGAAGCGACCCAGCAATAAAACCCAGTTAATAGAAGCCATCATTCAATCTTGGTTTCACATTATAACAGCTGCAGAACTAAAAGACTTGGTTCACTCCATAGGAAGACGTAAGGCTGTAATTCATGCTAAAGGTTACCCAACTAAGTATTAACTGACATGGTGATCACTTTTGTATATCTTGTTTTTTCTATGGTGATAATTTTTGTATATCTATTTTTTTCTACGTATTTCACTTTTCTTCTTTATACTGTAACTGCTATTCTAATAGCAAATCCTTCATAAAAGTTATTGCATTACATTCTTGATTAAATTATCTTTCCATCGATATATAATTTTACGGTACTACAAAAACAAAAAAAACAAAAAAAAGAAAGTGGTGTTATTAGCTAGTTTTATAAAATACACTTTCCCCAAAAGGTTTCCACAATTTTGGCCACTACTGTAGTTTTTAATCACAGGATCTACAATAACAATGCACAATGCTTTCACCAAAATCCGAATGTCCCCGTTGCTTCTTGAACGATTGGATCGATATATTGGTAAAATTAACCGATTGGCAAACTGTTAATGGAAATCTTGCAATTTCTATGAAGGGAATCATTTGCTATTCACCCTGACTGGATTTACTGTAAAGTTCTCCAATATGCAGCAAAGTAAATCTTTATTAAAAAATAAATTATCGAGAGAAGTGTTGCAAGCTTCAGTTAGTAAATGTTTTCACTGTGGCAAACTCCCATGATAGAAAATGAAAAAAAGATTTTTGGATTTAAAACACTTTCTCTGCTAATGACACTTATATTGAAGTTATTATTATTATTATTTATTGAATTTGTATACCGCCCTACTCCCGAAGGACTCAGGGCGGTGAACAGCCAAATAAAATACATATAATACAAATGTTAAAAAATCATTAAAATACAATTAAATAATTGGCCCGGAAACGAAATTTAAAACAACCCCAAATTCATAAGACAAATTTAAAATTTTAAAAGTTATTAAAAAATTTAAAAGAGAGGTTAGGCCAGGCTGGCCAGGTTCTGGTAATAACTGTATGTCAAATAACTTGAATAATTTAATTTTCTGATTATTTGTGGTATAGGGTCTGCTTGGGTGGGGGGTTGGACTAGATGGCCTACAAGGTCCCTTCCAACTCTGTTAATCTGTATATTTATTTATTTATTTTATTAAACTTGTATGCTGCCCTCTCTCTCAAAGGACTCAGGGCGGCTCACAACGATAAAAAACACATAAAATTCAGTATTCAAATATAAAAAACCAATACAATCCCTTTAAAAACCCCTTCAGTCCAAACCAGCCAGGCGAAATAACCATGTTTTAAGGTCACGGCGGAAAGAGCGAAGGTCAGGGGCCATCCGGAGCTCCAGGGGGAGCTGATTCCACAGAGTAGGCGCACCCACAGAGAAGGCCCGCTCCCTGGGAGTCGCCAGCCGACACTCTCTGGCCGACGGGACCCCAAGGAGGCCCTCCCTGTGAGAGCGCACCGGGCGATGGGGAGCTGTCGCTGGCCGCAGATGGTCTGCCAGGTACCCCGGGCCTAAGCCATGTAGGGCTTTATAGGTAATTACCAGCACCTTGAATCTCACCCGGAGGGCAACCGGTAGCCAATGCAGGTCCCGCAGGAGGAGTGTAATATGAGAGTGTCGGGACACTCCCATCACTACCCGCGCGGCTGCATTCTGCACCAGCTGAAGCCTCCGGGTGGTCTTCAAGGGCAGCCCCATGTAGAGAGCATTGCAGTAGTAATATCTGTAAGTAATAATAAGTATTGGAAGCCTAAACTCTGAGATAAGGAACGCTTTGTTAACATTGAACATTGAATTAGCTAATTTTAAGTTGAAATAGTCAATTTAAGTCTTGATTCCTCACATTTTTTTCATAGGAACAAATACGTTTTTAACAGAAAGCTTGTTAAAAGCAATATCTTATCCAGTTGCCTATATTGTATTGTTGACAAAATGGTCCCAGATATTCTGTATTTAACAACAGAATATTGCTAATTCAGAAGGTGTAATTCCCTCTGGAGTCAGTACTAATAGTGCTTCTTTAGTGACAGTTTGCAGTTATGGTGGTAACGAAAAGGTAACCAATCCTTGCATTTATGACCTTTGCAGGTCTGTGAATAGAATAGAATAGAATAGAATAGAATAGAATAGAATAGAATAGAATAGAATAGAATAGAATTTTTATTGGCCAAGTGTGATTGGACATACAAGGAATTTGTCTTTGGTGCATACGCTCCCAGTGTACATAAAAAAAAGATACGTTCATCAAGGTACAACACTTAATGATAGTCATAGGGTACAAAGAAGCAATCAGGAAACAATATCAATATAAATCATAAGGATACAAGCAACAAAGTTACAGTCATACAGTCATAAGTGGAAGGAGATGGGTGGTGGGAACGATGAGAAGATTAATAGTAGTTAAAAGCAGAAAAGCAAAAGTAGTTAAAGCAGAGGAAAGCTGAAGTAAAATCATAACCACAGTCCTAGTTTCACAGCTTTCCTTGCTGACCAAGTTGTTTATCCCAATTTTGCTCTGCTAAAAGAGGACTACCCATAAACTATCAGTTCCCACTGAAAATGAAGAAATAGCTTGCCCTCATACCACTTATCTTCATGGTACTGATTTCCATATATATTGGATTTCAGTTCTCACGATTTGTAAGTACCCTGGGTATTGGGCCATATTGGCTGAGAATAAGGGAAGATCAACAGATCCCAAACCCATCAGATTAAAGAAAGTTTCCTTATGCAGCTTGTGACTCCGTTTAGTTGGGGTTACCTCTGGGAAAATGTCCAATGTATTGTCATCTAAGTAATGCAATCTTCCTATTTAGAAGTAAGTTATGGTGAATTACTCTCTGTTGTGGCCGGTCGGCCGCTGGCCCCTCCAGCAGCTGAATCAGATGAGGAGGAGGCATGGGAGTCAGGATCAGCATCAAAGCAACCTGAGAGCTCTGAGGGGGAAGAGGGAATGGAGCTATCAGAAAGACAGAGAAAGGGCGTGGTCCATCTGTCATCCCTCAGGTGGAAAGTCAACAGCCCCCAGGTCTGGAGGTGGCTGATGAGGAAGAGGAGGAACAGCTGGGTCCAGTGCCTGATGTGCAGAAGGCAGAGGAGAGGAGAGCAGTGGAAATCTATGGGCCGATTCTTGGGATGGAAAAACCATCGTCGCTAGTGAAGCCCCACCCTAGCTCTGGAGATAAAAAGGCAGGGGGCAGAGTTGAATAGATATGGCAGACAAAATATTCATCTTGTTAGCCTGTGGTGAGAGAGAAACTTTTTGCCGGGGCTGCTGGCGCTCCTAATAAAGGAATCATTGAGTTAACTTGAGAGGGTTTGTTGTATTTGGGGAGCTGGGTCAGAATACTCTCCCTTTTATTTATTTTATTTTATTTTATTTATTTTATTTTGATTTATATGCCGCCTTTCTCCGGAGACTCAGGGTGGCTTACAAGGCATTAAGCGTTAAGCAATAGCCTTTGTATATTTTATACAAAGTCAGCTTATTGCCCCCACAAACCGGCTCCTCATTTTACCTACCTTAGAAAGGATGGAAGGCTGAGTCAACCTTGAGCCTGGTGAGAATTGAACTCGCAGTAATTGCAGGCAGCTGGAAGCTAACTACTACCTTTAACAGTAGCATTAGTCTGCTGCGCCACTCAGGCTCCTTTTTGGCAAAGCAATCGCAGTACTTCCTGATACAGTTATGTTTATGTTTATGTTTTGTTTTATTAGATTTATATACCGCCCTACTCCCGAAGGACTCAGGGCGGTGAACAGGCACACAATAAAATACATAGATACAAAAGTTAAAAGACATAATTAAAACCAGATTAAATAATTTAGCCCGAGACAATTAAAAATCCCAATAATTTAAAACAGATTAAAATTTCGATTTAAAAGAATTTTAAAACAGGGGAGAAAATTAGGCCAGGCCGTCTTGCTGGAATAGGAGAGTCTTAAGAGCACGGCGGAATGTGCGCAGATCTGCGATCCTCCGTATCTCTGGGGTGTTTAAATAAAGTTCATCTCATTGAGTTAAGAGAAAAATATTTCAGGTAAATAGGCCAGTGGTGGGTTGCTCCCGGTTCACACCGGTTTGGGAGAACCGGTAATAGCGGTAATGGGAGGCTCCGCTCAGCCACCCAGAAGTCATCAAATACGCTCTGCGGATGCGAGCGAACTGATAGCAAAGGTAAGCGAAACCCACCCCTGAAATCGGCATAGATAATTCGTATCATGCAGTAGACTGTCCTGTCTCAGGGAATATAAGCAACAAAACCTCACAAAAACCTGCGTCCATTTCTGAAGCTTCCTCAAGAAACAACGGGGTCTGCCAGGCAGATGTGAATTCAGAAATAGATGGGCTCTGAAGAAACCACCTCCAGCGCACAGATCTCTTACATGCTCTTCCCAATTTATCCCTTTTCAGTTCCAGCTTTAATTCGAGACCTGGTAGATAATCACCATGGCTCTTCTGGGCAGACAGTCAAATGTTTGGCAGAGGGCACACCCCTCCCCGATGTGGAATGGCTAGTTTGCAAGGACATTAAAAAGTAAGCCCTTTGATTTTTGGTCGCCTCGAGTGGTTCTATCTGATTGGCATAATAATATGTTTACTCTACCCTCCTTCTCATAATAGATATGTTCCCTAACTGGGTGCCTTCACGTTTTGTATTGCATTTCAACTCCCGTAACTCCAAAACTGGTAATCGTTTATTAGCTAATAATAAAGTAGTAATACAGAACGGCGATGGGTAGTAAGAATGGAGAATGGCTAAACGGTTATGGGAGTTGAAACCATTTAAAAATACATTTTGACATCGCTGGTGTAAAGATTTCAGATCTGGGAGTGGGGATATCATTTTATTGATTAAAATACCTCTTGAATTTTTAACTCTTGAGTGCAATTGGTGTATTGTTAAGCGTGTGAATGCATATAATGTATCTTTAAACAACCCAAGCGACAAGATTTTTCTAATCGGAGTTGGAGAAACAGTAAATGGTTAATCATTTCTCTTACATGGTTGTCTACTCCACAGTTATTATTTTCTTCCTAGTCTAATTTGATGAAAAGAAGGACTAGGGGCAACATGATAGCAGTGTTCCAATATCTCAGGGGTTGCCACAAAGAAGAGGGAGTCAAGCAGAGGTGGGTTTCAGCAGGTTCTGATCAGTTCTGGAGAACCGGTAGCGGAAATTCTGAGTAGTTCGAAGAAGCGGTAGTTAAAATTCTGACTGGCCCCGCCCTCATTTATTCTCTGCCTCCCAAGTCCCAGCTGATTGGGAGGAAATGGGGATTTTGCAGTATCCTTCCCCCGGAGTGAGGAGGGAATGGAGATTTTACAGTATCCTTCCCCTGCCATGCCCACCAAGCCACGCCTACCAAGCCATGTCACGCCCACCAAGCCACACCCACAGAACCCGTAGTAAAAAAATTTGAAACCCACCACTGGAGTCAAGCTATTCTCCAAAGCACCTGAGGGCAGGACAAGAAGCAATGGGTAGAAACTAATTAAGGAGAGAAGCAACCTAGAACTAAGAAGAAATTTCCTAACAGTTAGAACAATTAATCAGTGGAACAAATTGCCTCCAGAAGTTGTGAATGCTCCAGCACTGGAAGTTTTTAAGAAGATGGTTGAATGGCTTATTGGATAACCATTTGTCTGAAATGGTATAGGATTTCCTTCCTGAGCAGGGGGTTGGACTAGAAGACCTCCAAGGTCCCTTCCAACTCTGCTGTTCTATTTTATTCCTTATAGAATCTGGTACCCCTTGTGCGTTGGAGTTACATATAATTTAAAGCCCAAGATTAATTGTTAATAATAAGTCAACCTAACAAGATTAAACTGTGTCTAACAATATTTCCAAAGTTTAAATTTTGTATGAAAAGCAGGCTATCAATCTATCAAATAAATACTTTGGTATAAAGAAGAACAACTGAGATTTGTCCACATACATGGTACCATTCTTAATACTCCTGAAATGTTGCTTGTAGTCTAAATCAGTGGCTGTGGTTGAAAGACAATGTTGATTCTGCTTGGGCAACGAGTGATGTAAAGATGCACATAAAGATATTTATTCCCTCAATAATCTTCAGTAAAAGAAGATTCTTTGGCGGGATCAATCAAAAAGCGACTTCTTTCTAGATGCAACAATGACACCTCATGGACTCTCCTGACCAACAATATCTCTGATGTCACGGTGGAGACTCATCTCGATGAAAGGAACATGGTAGCCAGTCAGGTGACTTTTCAGAAGGTGGAAGAAATAATGGCCGTTCGCTGTATGGCAAAGAATGACCTTCGGACTGTTACAAGAGAACTGAAGCTTGTGGCTCCTAGTAAGTTGACTTTGATCAAAGTACCGTATTTTTTGGAGTATAAGACGCACCAGAGTATAAGACGCACCTTAGTTTTTGGGGAGGAAAATAAGAAAAAAGCTGATTGGCAGGTGGATCAGCCCCAATCAGCTTTTTCCCAGAGGTGAATTTTAGCAACAGGTTCCTTGGTTGTGAGCTCTGTGCCTTGCTTTTTTTTTTTTTGCTTTTTTTTCTGCCTCTGAAACTCTGTTTCAGAAAAAACTTTTTTTTCTACCTCTGAAAGCCTCCGAAACAGAGCTTAGAAAAAAAAGCCTCTGAAGCTCTGTTTCTGAGGATTTTTTTCTGAAGCTCTGTTTGGAGGATTTTTTTTTCTGAAGTTCTGTTTCTGAGGATTTTTTTTTGAAGCTCTGTTTGGAGGATTTTTTTCTGAAGTTCTGTTTCTGAGGATATTTTTCTGAAGCTCTGTTCAGAGGCTTTTTTTCTGAAGCTCTGTTTGGAGGCTTTTTTTCTGAAGCTCTGTTTGGAGGCTTTTTTTCTGAAGCTCTGTTTGAGAAGCTGGGCAGGGCTACATTTGGAGTATAAGACGCACCCAGATTTTCACCCTCTTTTTTGGGGGAAACAGGTGCGTCTTATACTCCGAAAAATACAGTACTTCCTCAGCCCCCAAAACTCGACGAATTCAGATATTTTTCCCCCAGAAGATATAATTAAAATGAGAAAAGATCTATTTGGTGTAGCACATATAACTGAAAATAAACATACATTAAAAACAAAAACATGTAAGTTTAGGCTAGCTTTTATAACATAACAGACTAAACCTATGCTTCTAGTCCTCAATTTACCACCACAATTGAGCCCAGAATTTATGTTGCCCCACCTTAAGCGCGTTCTTGCTGCGTTGCTAAGTGAATCACTGCAGTCGTTAACGTTAGCACGGTTGTTAAGTGAATCTGGCTTCCCCGTTGACCTTGTTTGTCAGAAGGTCGCAAAAGCTGATCCCGTGACCCCGTGACAAGGCAATCGTCATAAATATGAACCAGTTGGCATCCGAATGTAAATCGCGTGATTCCAGGGATGCCGCAATGGTCATAAGTGTGAAAAGTGGTCATAAGTCACTTTTTTCCCCAGTGCCATTGTAACTTTGAATGGTCACGAAAGGAACTGTTATAAGTTGAGGAATATCTGTATAGATGGGACAGATTTTTTATTTGCAATGTATCTGTCGAAGGGAGCAATTTATAAACCTCTTAGACAAAAGGGGATTTGTCTTCATTGTTGATGCATCTGGACTGTTCCCACACATTTCCTTTTGTTTTGCTTTTAACAAGGATGACAGAGGAAGGGAAGTGAACTATATAGTGAATTTTTAAATGGCTTAATTTGGAAAGATTGGAAACAAAGATTTTGTTTTTGTTTTTTGCTGGCCTGAAATCTCCGTTGTAGGATGTTTACATGAGCGTTTGTGGGTTAACTTCATTAGGTTTGCCTAACTCCTATGTTAATATCAGTGTTACGGCACCCAAAGTCGCAGTGAAAAGTTATTTTGCTTTAAAAAAGAAATGAAAGAATCCTATGTGATTCTCCTTACAGCATTAAGATCGGAACTCACTGTGGCTGCTACTGTCCTGGTCCTCCTGGTGATTGTAATAATTGCGCTGATTGTCTTGGTAATCATCTGGAAACAGGTAAGGAGAAAATCCATCCTTTAGACCAGAGTCCCCCAACCTTTCAGGGTTGATGGCTCGGAGTAGGGGGAGGGGGGAAAGACGGGGTGATTTTGTGGGAGTGGCAAGCACATATTGGTGTGTACGCGCATGAGCGAGTGCCCGCAACGTTCGTGGTGATGCTTGCGCGAGTGGGGCCACAAATGCCTGCAATGATGCTTGCGCAAATGGGGCCGCGGGCGCCCACGATGATGCTCACACACGTAGGGATGTGCGCACACCAGCCAGCTACTCATGCAGCCCAGTGGGCAATTAGCTCACGGCCCGGTAGTGGGCCCCGCAACCCACAGGTTGGGGACTCCTGCTCTAAACCACATTCTGCATGATTTCCTGCAGGAGTGTCAAAACTCAGTTTCACTGAGGGCCTCATCAAGGCTGTGGTTGACCTCTGGGGGGGAGGGTGGGGGGTGTGATCAACTGGGTGGGCATGGCCAGCTGGGTGGGCGTGGCCAGTTGACATCACTCAGCAAACGGCTGGCATGTTTCCTCTTTGCATTGGATAGACCAGGCTGAAGCGATGTAGACCAGCCCCTTACATTTTCCAGGATGGCCCCATGGGCCGGATCCAGTGGTGGGATCGCCACCTATTCGGGAGAACCAGTTGTTAACTTTCTAAGCAGTTCGGAGAACTGGTTATTGGAAGAAATCTTATTTTGTATTTTTTCCAATTGACAGGGCTAATCCTGTAAGGAAGGCAGGAAGGAAACATTCTGGTGTTATTTCTAGTCTAATCTTCATTGCCCTGCTTACAGAAACTGCCTCTCTGGTTAATCCTTATTACATTGTAACAGCTAGGGCGAAGCGGCCATTGACGTGAGTGACATTGAGTTGGCCACGCCCACACTGTCACATGACCACCAAGCCACGCCTACCCATCTGGTCATTAGGGCAGAGAACCAGTTGTTAAATTATTTGAATCCCACCACTGGCTGGATCTGACCAGATGCTGGCCTGGATGCGGCTTGCGGGCCTTGAGTTTGACACCCCTGATTTACTGTATTGGGATGAAACTGATCTTCCATGTCTTCTTTTGCACAGAAACCCAGATATGAGATCAGATGGAGAGTCATTGAGTCTATCAGCCCCGACGGCCATGAGTACATCTATGTGGACCCTATGCAACTGCCCTACGATTCAAGATGGGAATTCCCTAGAGACGGACTAGTGCTAGGTAAGGATCGCGCAAAGGATTGTGGTTGTTGCTGCCGTCGAGAAAAGAGTCTCGGATTTTTCATAGGAAACTTCAAGAGACATTATTCCCATTAATTATGTGCCAGAAATGATTTTGACACCAAAGTGGCAGGAATAGCCAATATAGGTAGTCCTCGAGTTATGACCACAATTGAGCCCAACATTTATGTTGCTAAGTGAAACATTTGCTAAGTGAGTTTGGCCCCATTTTACGACCTTTCTTGCCGTTGTTGTTAAGTAAATCACTGCAACTAGTAACCTGCTTATTAAGCGAATCTGGCTTCCCTGCTCATCAGAAGGTTGTAAAAAGTCATCACGTGACCCCGGGATGCTGCAACGGTCATAAGTATGAACCAGTTGCCAAGCATCTGGATTTTGATCACGTGATCACGGGGAGGCTGCAAAGATTGTAACGGTGAAAAGCGGTTGTAAGTCACTTTTTTCAGCGTCGTTTTCAGCCTTTCGGTTCTTGGAAGATGTTTTTATGGTGGTGAAATGGAAAATATTTTTCTCCACTTTTTTGGGGTTTCATGATAAATCCCAGTAACAGTGGAGCAGTTCCTCCTGTTTCTATTCCCTGGCCTGGAGCTGAACAAATGTCCTACTGTTGATTGTGACATGATGAAAAAGAAAAGAGCTTGGGCACTTCTGCCTGCTCAGGCCATCTTCCTTCCCACTTGTTCTCATGCTTCCTTATTTATTTATTTATCTATCTGTCCGTCTGTCTGTCTGTCTGTCTGTCTGTCTATCTATCATTCTATCTATCTATCTATCTATCTATCTATCTATCTATCTATCTATCTATCTATCTATCTATCATCTATCGTACTTATTTATTTCTTTGTTTATTTACTTATTTATTTATTAATTAATTATTAGCCTGGCTCGGTGGCTAAGACACTGAGTTTGTCGATCAGAAAGATCGGCAGCTTGGCGGTTCGAATCCCTAGTACAGGTCTCCTGTGTGAGCAGGGGGTTGGACTACATGGCCTCTAAGGTCCCTTCCAACTCTGTTACTGCTGGTGTTATTTTACGCAAAACGAACTAATAATTTGTGACGGTAGAATTCTCAACTTTATCATGTCAGATGGTAGCTAGATGGGCATCCCTGTATAGAATTTCAATAAGGTCATATTTTTTTGAGTTTCAGTTCTTGCGTAATTAAAAACAGGGCCCCCAGCGCTCAAGAAGGAGATATCGGGAGATTTTACTAGAAGGTTTTACAGAAGTACCAAGGCCACATTTCTAGAAAAACTCTCAAAAGGAAAAAAAAATAACTCCAGATGGCTCCAGAGTTAATTCTCAGTAACTGAATTCTTCTCTTCTCTCTCTTGTCTGTAGGTCGAATCCTTGGTTCTGGAGCTTTTGGGAAAGTAGTCGAAGGAACAGCCTATGGATTAAGCCGGTCACAACCAGTGATGAAAGTAGCTGTGAAGATGTTGAAACGTAAGCATGTTTTCCATTTACAGCTAATATAGTGCTTCATTCTCACTAATGCCATTGGAGTAGTATGGTGGCCTAGAGGTGGAGCTCTCGCCTCACAATCAGGAGGCTGTGAGTTCGATCCTACCGGTTCGGCCGAGCCGGTAGCGGTGACGATATGATGTCACCAAACTGGTTCTCTTTGTTCGGGAACTGGGCCCTCCCGCCCCCGCCCCCCATGTTATTCTTACCTTTTATTTGGCCCTGCCCCCAATCTATTCGCTGCCTCCCGAGTCCTAGCTGATCGGCTAGAAGGAAAAAAACTGTTTAAACTCTTGCCGTGGGGCTTCAAAGGGCCGCCCTACAGCTGGTCAGTGTTAAAAGGCAGTGTGGTGGTAGACTGGTGCCTCCAAAAACAAATGAGTAGACCAGTGCCTGCAAAAATACATGAGTAGATCAGTGCCTCCAAAAACAAATGGGTAGACCGGTACAGCTCTGCAAGCAGTTAAAAGCCTGGTAGACCAGTACCTCTGCTAAATCCTAAAGAATTGTCACATGACCATCAAACCACGCCCACAAAATAAGCCACGCCCACAGAACCGGTAGTAAAAAAATTTAGAACCCACCCCTGGGCTGGTCCCAGAGTGGGGTGGGAATGGAGATTTTGCAATATCCTTCCCCTAGGAGTGGGGAGGGAATGGGGATTTTGCAGTATCCTTTCCCTGCCACGCCCACCAGAGGTGGGTTTCAGCAGGTTCTGACCAGTTCTGGAGAACCGGTAGGGGAAATTATGAGTAGTTCAGAAAACCAGTAGTAAAAATTCTGACTGGCCCCGTCCCCATCTACAGTATTCTCTGCCTCCCAATTCCCAGATGATTGGGAAGAAATTGGGATTTTGTAGTAACCTTCCCCTGGATTGGGGAGGGAATGGAGATTTTACAGTATCCTTCCCCTGCCACGCCTACCATGCCACGCCCAGCAAGCCATGTCAGGCCCAGCAAGCCACACCCACAGAGCCGGTAGTAAAAAATTTTGAAACCCACCACTGGCACCCACCAAGCCACACCATGCCCACCAAGCCATGCCCACAGAACCGGTAGTAAAAAAAAAAAAATGAATTTCACCGCTGATAAGCAGTGACTATTAGCATAGGACACTTGTATATCAGCAGTCTGCTAATATTCTGCTTCTTTGAAAAATAATTTGAATCTGACACTGGAATCGACTTCAATTATATCCATCTCAAAATACAGAGAAAAATGCTTTTTTTTAAAATAAATAAATAAATAAATAAATTTTATTTATATGCCGCCCTTCTCCAGAGACTCAGGGCGGCTTACAATGCGTTAAGCAATAGCCTTCATACTTTTGTATATTTATACAAAGTCAGCTTATTGCCCCCACAAACTGGGTCCTCAATTTATCTACCTTAGAAAGGATGGAAGGCTGAGTCGACCTTGAGCCTGGTGAGAATTGAACTCGCAGTAATTGCAGGCAGCTGGATGTTAAATGCTGCCTTAGGAGGCATTAGCCTCCTACACCACTCAGGCTCCTCAGAGAACTCCAAGAGAAGAAAGAATAATTTGTTTGTGCCTTTCTCCGTGCTTTCCAGTATGTGTATCTGTGTCCCTGTATGTGTGTGCAGTTGTTTGCTGATTTGTAAGAAATCACCCAAATGATTGCTATGCCACCATTCCTCTGTTGTGAAGAGAATCAGAAGAAGAAGAAGATAGAAACAGGATACTGAACCTGTAGAATAGTGGGGAATATTGGCTGTTTTGAACATTTCTGCCATTGGGAAATAGACTACCCAAAAATACTACCTACCGCTGAATTGCAGCAATTCAAAGAAGAAAAAAATACTGATTTTGTTGAGATTCACAATAAATCAATTCATTTCCTCCAAACAAATGATAGGATGAGACAATCCATTCTGGATCTGATACCAAAATGGTGCGAAATAGTAATTTTGAAGTGTCCACGGTCTGATTCAGAAAGCAGTCTATACTGGGAGGAATTCAGACAAAGGTCCACGATACAAAGATATTACTGTTTTATTTATTAAACAAGTTAAGAAATCAGCAAAGAAAATGAAAATCATTTCCTTTCCCTAGCAGATCTTCTTTTGAAAAGTATTTTTTTCCCCAAGAAAATTCCTGTTCATAAAGAAACAGGGACCTTGGCTGCTTACTTCTGTATTTCTGGAAAAAACACAATCTAATTCTCTGTGTACCATATTTTCCCACCAGCAACCGCAAGATCCAGCGAAAAGCAGGCTCTCATGTCCGAATTAAAGATAATGACTCACCTTGGCCCCCATTTGAACATCGTCAACCTCTTAGGAGCTTGCACAAAATCAGGTAAATTTCTCAAGCAGGCATCTTTGTCCCTTTCTGTTGAAAAAAGAAACACCTAGAACATCAGGCTCGCTTGCTCTCATTGAGCTAGTATTTAGAAGAGTAGGCTGTAATTTAACAGATCAAACACCAGCCATTCTACTCGACCCCTGTTACAATTCGTTAAACAAGTCTTCCCAGCACGATATTTTTCGGTGTTGTGATCCGCCAGCAGCCTGCAGAGCTGGCAGCGGAGTCGGACAGTGAGGAGGCTGGGGAGGAACATGGGCCAGTCCTGGAGTCTGGGGAAGGCCCGGATGAGGGCTCTGCATCGGAGGCAGAGATGGGGCCAGGGCCATCTGGGAGTGATGCGCGAACTCCGGAGCCCCCAGAGTTGAACAGCAAAGAGGCAGAGGAACAGGAGGAGCCTGTTCCTAGTGCACGCATGTGCAGAGCTGCCAGAAGGCAAGAGCGCTAAAGCAAAAGGGATGACTCAGGAGTAAGGCCAGGAGATGATTGGCCCCTCCCATAAGGCTTAAAAGAGAAACAAAGGCACTTGGGGACTTTTTCAGGCAAGCAAAACGTTGCTAACTCTGTTTCCAGTTGGCATCTCTTATTTGTTTCTGAACTTTGTGGGGCTTTGCCAAGTAAGGCCTTTGGCAAGGTGTCAAAGAAGGTAAAGGTTGGTGATTATTCTGAAGGACTTCTTCTGAAGGACTTGTTTTGCAACTAATTGGGACTCAGCTGGGAATGAATGTAATTCTCAGCTGTTACAATAAAATAGGTTTGTTTGGGACTAATTGTGTCTTGTAATGACTCAGTAAGCCTAGGTCACAACATTCAGATGTGTTGGTGCTACAACCGCAGATCTGCTCAAATTACAATTCCATGAATGATTAGCCAGCATGGCAAGCACATCTGGAAAGTGCCACGTTCAGGAAGGTAGCATGATATCACCATTATTCTATAATTATTGTCAAGCTGTATTATCAGGATTGTGTAATTTAAGACCTACCAGACCAAACCCAGCCTCTTTAGCCATAGAAAGAATCTACAAGGGACTTCTGAGTAAAGAAGGGTTGTTGTGAACATGGCTAGTACCGCTAATCATTCATAGTTCCTGACCTTCAGGTTTCAGAACTTTTCTGACAACCTTTAAGGATGTGGTGTTTATGTGCATAATTCAGTGCAGAAAAGTCTCTGATGACCACTAAGTATGTCTCAAAAGGCAGATTTTATTTCCGGGAGATCTCTCTCACTGGTTTGCTTTTGTGACAAGAATGGGAGATGATTCAAAAAGCTTCTTCGTGCTTCTTGTAGTTTGTACGCTGAGAAAGCATACTTGTTTTTCGGTACGCAATCAGAGGTGGTATTCAGCCGGTTCGGGCGAATTGGTAGTGGGGGTGCAATCCCGTCCTATATTGCTGTGTTTTTGATGCTGCATGCATGCATGGACGGCGTGAGCGAGCGAATTGCCGGGTTGTTTTGACGTTGCATGCATGTGTGAATGGTGCGTGCGAGCGAGCAAATTGTCGTGTTTTGTGACGCCACACGCTTACATTTCTGGTACTGGACGAACCGGTTGCTACAGTATGTGAATCCCACCTCTGTACGCAATCACTATCCTTGGGACACCAATCTCTAATTAGTTTCCACACACGACTTCCCTGTGGCATTAAGTATTGTTCTGCTTTGTTCCTCTTCGTTAGGTCCAATATACATCATAACAGAATACTGTTTTTATGGAGACTTGGTGAACTACCTCCATAAAAATAGGGATAACTTTCTGAGTCGACATCCTGAAAAAGCAAAGACGGATCTGGACATCTTTGGCATTAATTCTGCAGATGAAAGCACTAGAAGGTAAGCTTTAGCTATAAAGTAATCAAAGACATAATATTTGTTAGGAAATGATCGTTACCTAACTTGTTGGTTGGCAATATATAAACCCTTAATATAGCTTTAAGACGGTATTGCTGTATTGCATCATACTGTGTCCTGATTGGTTAGCTCTGTAGCCAATGTCCTTAAGAGGGAGTTAGAAACATGGTTTGTTTCTCTTTGCTGACCATGATTGCTCTTTGCTGTGTTTGCTACTGCTTGCAACTGTTTATTGTGTATGACTATGACGACTGGTAAGAAGACTTTGTTATTGGAATATCCCTGGACTATTGTTTTACTATCTACTGCTTTACCTGTGTATGACCTGGACTGTTTATTGGACTGTGCCTTATTACTATTTCCTAAAAGTAAACACAACTCAGTGTAACTGTGTGTTGGCTATGATTATTCGCAACTGGTCTCAGTCACTTTCATGTGCACACCCTTGCTACTCTAAGGTTGCTCTGTGAATTCCTTAACAATATTAATTTGTTCTGTGCACCTTTGGCATATAGCCATGATGGCCACATGACTATGGAAATTGTCTTTGGACAATCCTGGCTCCCTTGGCCAAGAAACCCTAGAGTCGGACACAATTGGACAGGGAAACCTTTGTTCTGATTTAGGCTTCCTGAGCCAGTAAAAGCACACGATTAGTCCCAAAAACCTTCTTTTTATTTCAACAGCTGTGAATTCTGTTCATTCACAGCCCACAGTGAGTCACAAATAGTTTGTAAAGAGTCCGACAGAAGTCTACCACAGTCCTTTGGGATAAGGCTGATAAGCACCCACCTTTATCTCCCTTGACATGATGCCAAAGACCTTATTAGCAATTAGTTTTGCAAGGCCATATGGAACACAAAGTCAAAAAGGAGCTTCAGAATTTAAACCGACCAGAACAAACAAAGTTGCTTCCTGCAAAGGTTTACGTGCCTTTATGCCTCCTTTATGTCTTATGGTATGGGCCAATCATCTCCAAGCCTTACTCCCAAGTCGCCCCTTTTGTCTTAATTGTTCTTGCCTTCTGGCAGCTCTGCACATGCGCGCACTAAAAACAGGCTCCCCCTGTTCCTCTGCCTCGCTGATGTCAGACTCTGGAGGCTCCGGAGTCAGCACATAACTCCCAGATGGACCTGGCCCCATCTCTGCCTCTGATGCAGAGCCCTCGTCCGAGCCTTCCCCAGGCTCCAGAACTGGCCCATGTTCCTCCCCAGCCTCCTCACTGTCCGACTCCACTGCGGGCTGTGCAGGCTGTTGGGGGACCAAAACAACCTTTACCTTTTTACTGAGATGTGAGAGTCATGAGGCTGAGGAAACTACTCCAGAGCTTAATAGGGTCCATCCATACAATATGTTCATCATGAACCCTTCTTTATACTTCTAAGCCACACTGAAAATATTTAATGTAATGCTTACTTAATACAGGTAGTCCTCAAATTACCACCACAATTGAGCCTAACATTTATGTTGCTGTGTGAGAAATTTGTTAAGCAGGTTTTGCCCCACCTTATTAAGTGACTCTCTGCAGTTGTTAAGTTAGTAACATGATTGTTAGGTCAATCCGGCTTCCCCATTGATTTTGCTTGTCAGAAGGTTGCAAAAGCTGATTGCACCACCCTGGGACACTGCAACCGTCATAAATATGAAACAGTTGTCCAGTATTTGAATGTAAATCATGTGACCATGGGGATGGATGCTGCAGTGGTCATAAGTGTGAAAAATGGTCCTAAATCACTTTTTTCAGTTCCGTTGTAACTTTGAACAGTCACTAAAAGAACTGTTGTAAGTCGAGGATGACCTGAAATGAGATAAAGCTCTGTACAGTACTTAATTTAGTTTCTTACATCTAGAGTTAGTTGCAGAACTGGCAAGTGTGAATGCCAAAGGAATGGCATTCTAAGCTTCAAATAATTATAACTCAAATGATTATAATTTCAAATTAATAATAAGAGCAATATTACCCTCTCACTCCTATTCCCCCGGGGAAGAGCCTTCTCTGTGGGGGCACCTGCCCTCTGGAATGAGCTACCCCCAGGGATACGACTGATCCCGGACCTCCGGACCTTCTGCCGGGCCCTGAAGACTTTTTTATTTCAGCAAGCCGGGCTGGGTTAAAAATCTTTTAATTGGGGAATTTTATGGGCAAAGGGGTTTTAAATTGGGGAAGCCAAAGATAAATTTAATTTCGTTTTAATGTATTTTAATATTTGTATTGTGTGTTTTTAATTTTGGCTGTTCACCGCCCCGAGTCCTTCGGGAGAGGGGGCGGTATAAAAATTTAATAAATAAATAAATAATAAAATAAATATTTGATTCCATTGAGGACCTGTATATTGCAAGAGTCAAAAAGAGGGCTGTGAAAATATTTACAGACCCTTCGCATCCTGGACATAAACTGTTTCAACTCCTACCCTCAAAACGACGCTATAGAGCACTGCACACCAGAACAACTAGACACAAGGACAGTTTTTTTCCAAACGCCATCACTCTGCTAAACAAATAATTCCCTCAACACTGTCAAACTGTTTACTAAGTCTGCACTACTATGAATCTTCTCATCGTTCCCACCACCCATCTCCTTCCACTTATGACTGTATGACTGTAATTTTGTTGCTTGTATCCTTACGATTTATATTGATATTGTTTCCTGATTGCTTATTTGCACCCTATGACTATCATTAAGTGTTGTACCTTATGATTCTTGATGAACGTATCTCTTCTTTTATGTACACTGAGAGCATATGTACCAAAGACAAATTCCTTGTGTGTCCAATCACACTTGGCCAATAAAAATTCTATTCTATTCTATTCTATTCTATTCTATTCTATTCTATTCTATTTTCCAAAAGTTGGTTTGAGGCCACTATTTATAGTATGTCCTAACAGGAACGTTTTATGGTGAGCTCCATAGCTTCACTTAGATGGAAGGCTCACAGATTGTTAACCAAGCCACGCTTACCACTGCATTGTATGTTACTAAAACTCACTTCTAAGGCATTGCCTTCTTCTGGGGAAACATAAATCTCCATGTAATGAATACCAATATTATGGAAACTTTATAGTGTCTCCTTCATTATCACAAGGAAAAAAAGTTTCTAATGGGATGAAGAAACGCAGGGTAGATTTATTGATTAAGATTTTAAAGAATCAATGAATCAAGACAACCATTGAAGATTAATTTTGGGAATGGCCTACAGATTGCCGAAACTTTATTGTGACATCTATAATATCCAACCCCTGCTCCATAATCAACAAAGAAGAGATCAGTATATTAATAGCAATAGCACTTAGACTTATATACCACTTCATAGTGCTTTATAGACTTCTCTAAGCGGTTTTCAGAGTCAGCATATTGCCCACCAATAATCTGGGTCCTTATTTTACCAACTGTTGTGGCTCCGTTGCCTGAGCCCGGGCTATCGACAGATGCAGACTCTGAGAGTGAGGGGGAGGAGTTGGCAAGGCCTCCCTCTCCAGGATCCTCCTCTCTGGCAATGCCTCCGGAGGACACCGAAGGCCAAACGATAGGCTCAGAGCCAAACACGTCCCTGCAGCCTCAGGTGGACAGCGACGAGGAAGATAAGTGTTGGCTAGACCCTCGCCAGAGGCGCAGGGAGAAGCGTGCACAGCAGAGGGGAAGGCATGCCAGAGATTAGCTGAGTCACTGGACCACACCCCACAGGCTATAAAAGGGAGTGTGGTGGCCATTCAGACTCTGTGACAGACAAAGCTAATCTCTGGCGAGGCACTTTGCACCTTCGGACACAACACCTATTTGCTGTGGATTTAATTACAAACTGGACTATTCAAACTGTGTGTATTTTTGTCTGTGTTATCGGAGTAAAAGCTCTTGGCAGGCAGCCACGGAGTTGCTGCCAAGTTCCTTATCACTGACGTTGAGTGTTTGAAGAGTTTATTTAACCCTCGGCTGGCTGGTTGGGTGTGTGCGTGGTACGGGGACAGAACACCAACCTTGGACGGATGGAAGGCTGAGCCAACCCTTAGCTAGTCAGGATCGAACTGCTGGCAGTCAGCAGAATTAGCCTGCAATACTGCATTCTAACCACTGCTCCATCACGGCTATAATAAGTATAATATTATACTTATAAGTGAAAGTATAATAGGTACAGTAAATATTCAGATCTCAATTTGTGCACTGTTCCTTTATATTGCTACTGTGCTTTTAATTCCAGCTATGTCATCCTGTCCTTTGAAAATAACGGTGAATATATGGACATGAAACAAGCTGACACAACTCAGTACGTGCCTATGTTAGAAAGAAAAGACAGGTCAAAATACTCTGACATCCAGAGATCTTTGTACGACCGCCCTGCTTCATATAAGAAAAAATCCATATTGGGTAAGTCTGCTTCATATGTTTTAGCATGTATAGCTAATTTTATTCGGCAAAGAATCAGATTAGATTAGGGTTAAGTTTTCTCTTTGCACTGTTCTTTTTTTCTGAACAAGTAATCTGAAGTCGCTGCTAATCGGTTTTTTTTTATTGAAAAGTTTTACAAAAAGGAAATACAAAATCCCCCCCCCCTTCCCCCCCCCCCTCCCCCCTTCACCCCCCCCCCCCCCCCGACTTCCCAGAGCAAAATACGAGGTATTTCATTTAATCATTTGGCCTAACTCCTCTTTTAAATTTTTTAAATTTTTTAAATTTTTTAATTCGTGATCTTATAAATTGGGTGTTTTAATCTGTGTTTCGGCCAAAATATTTAATAATTTTAAGGGATTTTTAATATTTGTATTATCTGTATTTTATCTTGGCTGTTCACTGCCCTGAGTCCTTCGGGAGTAGGGCGGTATAGAAATTTGATTAAATAAATAAATAAATAAATAAATAAATCAAACATAAACTAGATTAATCTATTTATCCTCAAAGTACTGCATCCCCCACCCATCCACTACAAAGTACAAATACTTCTAATACTAACATTCATTCATAAGCTATTTGATATTTTCTTGTCTGATACTTATTTTGAATATAATCAATCCATCTTCTCCATTCCGATACGTATCTTTCTTGCGTGTGGTCCTTCAAGTACGCCGAGATTTTCGCCATTTCTGCTAGGTTTGTTACTTTCAATATCCACTCTTCAATAGTAGGCAAAGAGTCCTTCTTCCAATACTGGGCTACCAATAGCCTAGCTGCTGATATTAAGTTCAAAATCAATTTAGTCTCTGAAACTGTACAGTCCGTAATTATACCCAATAGAAACAATTGCTGCTAATCTTGTAGGAGAAAAAGTTCAGGATTTTGTGGCATGGCGCTGGTCATTTCACTTCTCTGTTTTATGGTTTTTGACTGTCCTACGGGACATTTGTATTGTCCTGCACCATTTAGTTCTTTTATGATTGAGCTCACGGCAGAAGTGATCGCTATTAGTTTTGTTTTTTTGTATGTGTGTCTTTCAAGCTTGATTGCAATGATCTCTTTCTATGTTCTGCTATTTACATGCGTAGAAGGATAGCTAAGGATCAAGTCTTATGGCCATTTCGGCGTTCAATTTACTAAAAAATTGAATTATTTCAGCTTGGTTTTAGAGGTCATATAAAGTCTGAAAGATTACAGCAGCATCATCTCATTGGTTATAATCTGAATTATAACTGCTTCACGAAGAACCTAATGTATTTCTTCTTCCTGTAAAATCATCTGCGTTGCCACAGATGATAGCTTCTAAGTAACTTAAAATGAATCTCCAAAAGTAAGCAGGGATAGATCTAGCTAGTAGTCGGATGAGAAATTCCAGAGTATAGATTAGTTTGGGAAGTCAAAAAGACATCATGGAAGAAAGCAATGGCGAATTCATTGCCATTAATTTCCAATGGTTGGAAACTAATCAAAAAGACAGAAGCAACCTGGAATTAAGGAGAAACTTCCTAACAGTGAGGATAATTAACCAGTTGAACAAGTTGCCTCCAGAAATCGTGGGGGCTTCATCCCTGGAGTTTTTAAGAAGGGTCTAGATAACCACTTATCTGAAATAGTATAGGTTTTCCTGCTTGAACAGGGGGCTGGACTAGAGGACCTCCAAGATCCCTTCTATTCTATTCTATTCTATTCTATTCTATTCTATTCTATTCTATT